TTGTCTAGAGATAGCGATTTATGAGCAATTTTATAAAAATGACGTTTTTCAGAGTTCTCCTTAATTTCTGGAAGTTTTATTTCAAGGAAAGATAGACTAATCTTAGATGTATTTATTCTAATATTTAAACTTTGGAAAAGAATACTTTCGTTCATGTCCGCCTGGTTGCCCACTGTGCGTGGATGTTTATGCTCCAGTCAATCTTGTATCGGTGACTCACTGTTCAGAATTTACACCAACACTGCATATCTCTAGATCTAAATAGAGAGTAAGGATATTTGTCCGCACTGCACTCTTACAAAAAAAAATCTATATTCTGAGAAATCAAAAAAAGAAGCGTTTCTGAAATCATGTCAAAAACCTTATTTTTCGGATTTCTGTTAACATGGATTCTTTTTAAATTTCGTCTCTTTTTCGTACATACAACTGATCTATCCTTCTTTTGTTTACTGTTAGTGCAATCGCTGCGAAATTAAAATATGAAACACAATATAGTTACTAATCAAAGAAAGATTGCTTTATTCTATCTATTTTGAGATAGATTTCTTTACCATCGTTCTCCAAAAAATGTAATACGGAAATAGTTCATATATTAGAACGAGACGTTATTGTTATACAGTCTTTGATCGTATGTCAAAAATGTCTATGACGTTCTTATGGTTATGTCTGTCAACATTCCTTTTAGATCGTGTTTCATCAAATAATGGTCGTTTTCTCACTCATATCTTTGAATAGTACGAATCATATGAAAAGAAAAATCTATTCATTAATAGTTTTCTTCATAGTTAAATCTTCTATATTATTACATTAATTAAATAATTATTTATTTATTTAGTCGAACATATTTGTCGATCATTACCACTTCTCTATGTTGAATTATTACTAAATTTTATTAGTGAACAAATTCAACATTCTCGACATTTTGCTTTTTATCTATCATGGATATATAATATCTTAATGAATCATACAAATAATCTTAAACCAAATTCAACAAAAATCTTAACAACATTATGTAATTTAGAAAAAAATCTTACATTAAAACATGATAGTTTGGGTAAAATGTAAGTTAAATGAAATAAAAAAAAAGAAAGAATACAAAGAAATATTTCTTTTTTCTTTTTAGTGTTGAAAATAATATCTTTACTATCGATTATCTATCTACAATAGCATCACTACCTAAAACGGATGAAATTATTGAAGATATGGATACATCATCTATATCAAGAACCAAACGAAAAAAATCAGAACATATTTCTAATTCTATTTCCGAAGAATAAAAGTAGAAAGATAAAAGAAGAAATTTAATTTTTGTCATTCTGTCTAAATAATTTGATCTGCAACACACACAAACACAAACACGTGAAACACAAAAAAAAAAAAAAAAGTTAAAAGGGAAAATTATGTCTATTATAGTTCATTCTGTTTTTGTTAGTATGGAATGTCGTCGATAATCGACTGACTAGAAGTATAATGTTGCTATTAAGGATATTTTTTTAATCATAAAAATAATGCTAAGATGATATATTTTTTGACATTGATAAATAACGTTCATCAGTAATAACAACACCTTTTGCTACACATATTCGATCACGTCCATCAATTAAACATGGCCATATATATTCAATAATAGTTTCACTTTCATTATCAGATGTATGAAAACGTTCATGAATTTGTTTATCATATTTTGTTGTTTGAAATTCAATATAATACGGTGGATTTTGATTGGCAAGTCCCCATCTATAATACATATATATATTATGATATTAATACGAAATTCAAATATGAATCTAATATTTAGAAAATATATGTGAAATATATAGAACTACTATTAATTTATTAAACTTTATAAAAGATTAATAAAATGAGAGATTTAATTTATCTACAGTAAAATTGAAGATGTAATTCGATTCATTAATTAGTGATGATAACTGAAATTTTTCTAAATTTTGAAATAAAAAAGAGAGAATATGATAGTAGAGAACTTATTGAAAGAAAACCAGTCATTAATACTTGGAAAAACTAATTTTGGACGGCGGAAATTTTTAATAATCAAATATCTATTTATGTATCGTGGCATCTCAGCCGATTGGCTTACACCTCTAATACTAGAACATCATCAACTGATACTCTTCTTGTGACTTCGTGGGCAAGGTTTATAGAGTAGAGAAAAAGCCTAAAAAGATTCGTTCCATTGGTGGAGAACAATAAGCATAGCAAGATTCTCTAAAAATACTACTACTGTGTTGTCTATTAAAAATTATTTCAACAAAAAAACATTTCTACGAGCTGTTTCTTTTGTTAAAAACTTCTATTACGGACATGTATCAGAAAGTATTAGAGAGAATATACATGATCCATAGGGAAAGAAAACGAATGTACCCGAACATAGAAATTTAAATAAGATGTATGTCAAGAAGAATAAATGTTTACTTGCATGTAACGTTTCCATGTGTATTATATCTAGCGAACATATGGATGGTATAAAAACAAAAAAACTCTTGAATGAAACGCTGCTTTCATCCAGAGATATGAAAAAGGATATTTCCAAAAATAATTAACAGAATATAGAATAATATCATTTGTAGAGAAATTTGTAATGCTTGTTTCTTTGGAATATAACGACAATGGAATGAATCTTTTTCTCTACTCGATGAGCTCTACCTATGCGTTATATACAAACTCAAACAGACGATATCAATTGATGATGTTCTCTCGTTACGTAAAACTCTTCTCTAATGCAGGCACCATCCGAACCAGCCAAAGTGTTCAAGGTGATTTTTGTCTTGTTTCCAACAGTTAATTAATTCAATTTTTTTTTAACCAGAGGCAAATCAACACGTATTCATGTTACTAGTTGTTAACACAAGAAGGATGCAATATTACGCAAAGCACTACTATTGTTGTCTAATATTGTTTTTTGTTCTGTTTTAAATACGTACGGTTAGGCGATTCTCTTGTCATATGCATTCTATGATGGCTTATTATAACGTAATACATATAACATATTTTTTTCTCATTTTGTGCGTGAATGATAGAGCATATGTTGTTCACATGAGAAAGATTATTATTGCTTATGAGACCAGAAATATGCGTCTTTAGTTCAGAATAAGAAGATGCTCATTCCGAGAAAAATTCGCTTGGGAAGACTAAAGATTGTCCAATATAATGAGATACTCACATAGATAAGTTTAACTATGTACTTAATCTAAAGAGCTTTTTCCGATCTCTTTTTGTATTCTATTTTCAATGAGTTTATTAATCAAAAAAAAACAAAAATAACTTTTATAACTTGATCTTTTCTTTTTAGTATTTGATAAACGTTTTATAGTTTTTCAGTTGTTATCACCATTAACTCAAGTGTTGATTCTGATGGGGGGGGAACAGTAGTTTCCAATATTTTTCTATAAACTTCATTATACATCTTATCATAAAATAAAGGACATTATGCTAAAAATAAATACATGTTTGATGGTGAGAACAAGAGCGAGATTTCGAACGAGATATCAGATATATCTAAAGGTTGATACTTCAGAATTACATCTTTCTTTTGATACAATTCACATGTATCATGTACTATCAATAGATTAATCTAGATAAATAAGTCCTGATAGATTGTCTATAAAGTAAATCAAATAGGTTTTATTGATACATACGCTGTTCGACATGCTGAATTAATATATTTAAGTAATTCATTACAAGATTTTAATGTTGGATAATCATATAATGTAGACCATAATTGATTTTCAACTTCCTAAAAATAATAAAATTATTAACATAAAAAAAAAAAATCATTATTTTCATATTTATATTTATATATACATATGCAATTTTTCCAACATCATATTTTAGTATTGTACTTCTTAGATATTTTTCAATTGTTTCTTCGATTGTTATTGAATTTTTATCATTACTTAATTGAAGAATTTGTTTAATTTTATTTCGTATATCTTTTGCTTGATTTTGTGCATGACGAAAAGCAAGCTAATAAAAAAATAATTAAAATTATTTTAAATTATTAATTTAACATACAACAACAACAGAAAAAAGTAATTTTGATTTAAGATCTTCAGCATCAGACATTTCACGAACATTATCTAATGCATCAAGTGCATCAATTCGAGCTTGAGAATAAAGAGAATTATAACTACGAATTAATTCAGTTGGACGAGATATTTGATTTAAATCTTCAAATTTACCACCTTTTTCTAATTGACGTTGTGCTTGTTCAGCTAATCTAAATAGAATAAAATAAATTTCACAGAGGATATTTAACATTCATTAATAAAATTATTTTGAGAAGAGAAAAATCATTCTAATTCAATGTAGAAAAACGTTTTAGTCAATAACAAATAACTATAAGATTGCTTCTGGTATTTTCTCTTGTTTCACAATTAATAAATAAATAGGTTTAACCTATAAATGCCATGCAGATACATATTTTTCTCATGGACGTTTTATTATCCGACCAGATATATCACACAAAAATAGACCAACTGTGGAGCAGAATTATTCATTATTGATTTAGAAAATATGAAAATTCTACTAATCAGAAGATTTTCTTTTTAATAATATATGCACTTTCCATAATCAAACTTCATAGATATTCATCTCTATTATTCATGTGAATCTGATCTAGACGTATATTAAATTGTACGACAAGGCTAGATAAGATTGATGTTGCAGATAAAGTTGTCTTATTTGTTTTAAATAATTAGATTAGAAAAAAATAATCATTATAATCTATAGTTGATTTTGTTGTCCAATATTTATGCTCAATAATATTCTATATAAACTCATTTAATTTTTCTGTATATTCAATTTATATTATAAAAATCGATCTATCATGAAGATAAGAATACAAAACAGAATTTTTGTTCTTCTATCATTTGAACTTTACCGTTCACGCATTTGTTCTTCACTTTTTTGTAATCGTGTTATTGTTTCTTTTGATTTTTGTAATTCATTTTTTAATTGTTGTAAATCATTTTTTAATTTTTCTTTTTCATCATAATCTGAACTAATTGATTGTTGTTCCATATTTACTGGTGACATAGTTGATGGTATATTTCCTATTGAATTTATTGTTGTGTTCAAAGGTGACAAAGATTGAAGTGATGAAGTTGGTGGTAAAACAGATGTTAATTGATGTTGAGCAATAGGTCCATTAGTTAATTGACGATTTCGTTGATCACGTCCATTGATTGTTAAAGGCTGTAGTGGAGCTAAAAATAAACAAATCAAATAGAATATGAATTGATTAACAAAAATAAAATGGAAAACAAAAAGAAACATACAGTTTGTTTTATCGTAATACATGCATGATAAAGCTGTAGACATGACTGTTACTTTTCTCGGTTCTATATGAATACTTGAAGCAAAAACAAAACAGATGTACACACATAGAAGGATCAATTCGTTTATTTTCTTCTTCTTCTTTCTAGTTATAACGAAGAAGAAGAAGAAAGAAAAAAAAAAGAAAGAATACTCAAACTACTAATGCTCGATGTTGATGACGTCAAATAGAGAAGAAATCGAGCTTGTAACAACAACGTACTTGCTATCGTTGTTGGAATGTGTACAAACGTTAAAATCTGTTTTTTACATGACGAGAATATGTCGATTGTCAATCAAAGTACTATTTATCGGATAATCTAGTTCTTCTTCTTTCTTTTATTCTCGACTAGAGGGTATATATATATATATACATGACAGACACCCGATGAATAGAGTGGCATCTACAGCTGTCCATATTTCGACCTTTTATTTAAAAGACATTTATAAAACAATAGAAGAAAACAAGTGGTATTCATTGTTTTGATATACACATATGCTTGATGTAATATAGTTTACAATTGACACTCATATCTTGTTTGATATGAATCGTTTATAAATAAATTATTAACAGGTTTCGAATATACTATTATATAAATACAAAAAGAAAATACAAGAATATCGAAGAGTATGTCAAAATGATATTTTCTATTGTAAATACGATAATCTATTTATTTTGAATTATATTCATAAATTAGAGAAAATAAGATAAATGAAGAATTTTGACTTTTCTACTTTAGGATTTAATAGCTATTACTAACAATTTTTAAGTGTTTCTATTGTATAAATTATGTATTAACTGACAGAATACAAGTTCACTAAGCTAAACCACTTAGGTTATGTATTTACTGTGTTATGTCTTTCAAGGTCTAAAGTACTTAAGAAATATAATGATGACAAGCGTTATAGTAAGATATTGACAGGAGAAATGTCTGACTAAATTTGTATTAAACTAATGATTGCCTATGATTTCTTTCCGTTATTCTTTTCTTCAAAAAAACGAAGCAAAAAAAAAAGAAACCAGATGTACACTATAAAAATGTCATTTCTAATCGATTAAACAGTAAACAATGCGAAAAAACTCTATTATTATTGAAAAATTTCAGATAATCCTTTTTTTCTTTTTCTTTTCTTACGCATTTGATCATTATATTTGTTGTCTATCATAATATTTCTTATTGAACATGTTTCAATATCACTTGTTAAATGTTGATGTCGACAAAGTAAAGTTGGTGTCATTGAAATTTTTGTATGAATATTTTGATGATTATTCATGGTTTGTTCGTAAGTATTCAATGAATGACATGATTTCATCGTTGCCGATCGTTTGTTATAAAAACGTTCTTTATTTTTTCGTAATGATCGACGTAATGTATTGACAAAACCTTGTGATTTATTGTCATCGATTGAATTATTATTACAATTTAAAGGTAAACTAGATGAATTTGTTTCATTGATAGACATTAATAGATTGTTTGAATATACTTTTATATTTGTTGCAACATTTATATGATCCATATTAGCTGGTGTAGATTGTGCTAGATTATTTGTAAGTATATTCTTATCATCTATATATTCTTGAATATTATTCTTATTATTGTTATTATTGGTTGTTGTTAGATGAAAGCTCTTTGTTCTATTAAGATATTGTGCAGCTGTAGAAAGATATCGGTTGACAAGTTTGCTAGCCGGTTGTTGTTTTTGAAGTTGAGTGTTGATAATATGCGATTGTGGACCATAGAAAAATTGTAATTCAACAGCATTTGACATTTTTATTATGAGACTTTTTATTATTATTTTTTGCTTTTTCAAATAGAATGAATGTTGATATTGAATAAGCTTAGTTTTGATAGGTATTGTCAATGAGATATGGAGAATAATTCAATATGTTTGAAAATTGTTCTTCAATATGTATTATCAAAAAGATGAGAAGTTATTGATAATAATATGGAATATCGCAAGTGGCCGAATGAAGCATTGAACGAATAGCAAGAAAAAATATGTATGCTATTCTCTGATGAAGTTCGGTAGACACGTTATGTGGTAGAATATACAAGGAGTAAAGAGCGAGTACGTGTGTATATTTAGTAGAGCGATATCTTTCTCTCTCGTTTTTTTCTCTATTCCATTTTCTATCTATGTGACGTGTTACCTCTCTTTCTCGCCTTTCGCTTAACATACAAACGCGATATTTTATTAATGGATGAATGATAGCTATAATCAAGCTCATTTGTCACCAGCGAAAGCTTAAGCAAGCAAATGCTTACATATTGGGTTATTATTTAATACAGCAAAAATTACGTATATTGATTACTCTTGTATAAGTATAAAGAAAAATTGCGAATTTCTTATTACTCTTGAATATCTAATATTCAATGCTATTAATAACGAAAAAAAAAAAAAGAAGACAAATCGTTGCAACCTTGATTTTATTATTTTTGGCATATTGATGTTTGTTTTCTCCATTCATTGTTTATATGAGAACATTAGTAGAAATAAAAAGGAGCAACATCATTTTATGCTTCAATCGGCTTTTTGACCCTTTCACGTCATTATATACAAATGCTACGAGGTAAACATCTCCGACTGAGCACAAGAATAACTCGAGATCCAATCAGGCGGAGAAGAAAATAATGTCCTGCTGATGCTCTCTCGCTCTCTACCATTTGAGTAATCGGGCGAAGGATATATATGCGTGTGCTGCTCTTTCATCTTTGGTCAGTACAGGCACAATGACAAGAAATTATATCTTATTGAAGAGATAAGACGGGAAAAAGAAACGAAGGCTATTAAATATCTCTAAATGTATTTTCTAATATCATATATTAGAAGAAGAAGGATGAGAAAGAGAAGAGTATTGAACTATGTGATGTATATACAGATGTTACAGAAATCTAATAGAGTATGACCTTTTCTTGTCAAAGAAACAAATACATTTCATACACACATATATCTTTGTCGCCAACGTCGCGTCTGCATATCAATGTCATTAAGATATATTGCATATATCTACTAGTATTTACTTTGTTGTTTTACGAAGAATATTATCAAAAAACAAAAAAACTTATTATTAAATTTTTATTTCAAAAATAGTTTTAAATATTTAATTTTAATTTTGAATATTAATTAAATGATAACATGATTAAGTAATTAATAATTATTTTAAAAAAACTTTGATGATTTTCATTAGTTATATTCCTATCAGCATAGATGAAATCTTTATCTACAGGCAAACATCGTAACAACAGTTATTGGCAAAACTAATCTGATTACAGAATTGTAGTATTTAGTTTATGACAGTTTTTCAATTAACATTCTAATCTTTCTAGGTCATCTTGGCTTAATGATGGAATTGTATTACAATGTTCGAATCATGCAAAGACATTGATTAGATGTACATCAAGAAAGTCGGCAAGAACAAGAAATAGTTTGAAGGAGAAAATGATCATAATTAAAAAATGTTTTTCACAAGGATAAATGACGTTTTCGACAGTTTGTCATCCATCCATTACTATAACTAATTGATTTTTTTTGTTTTAGAAAGGTTTCAATTGATTTTCTCTCGAGCTCTTCATTGTATTACATACATAAAAAATAACTAATAATATTAACACACTTAAATACTTCATTACCATTCATACTCTACTGATATTACTATATAAACTAATTTTTAACTTTCAAATCAGAACGAAAAATTAATTCGATTTTTCTTTTTCATCAATATATGAATTTTCACTACTACGTTTGTATTCAAATTTTAGAATTTGATGAATTCCTATGATTCAAACTGAATAAAAACTTCTGATATAGTAACAATGGTTTGAAACTTGAACAGTCGATTATCCTCTGATTACTATTCTATCGCAGTATATTGATAATTGTTCCCTAACCAACAATCTACTGTCAATACTTATGAGTATTGTAGTATATACAAGTAGTAGTACGACTAAACATGTAACATGGGAACATGTTATTCATAATATATTTCTCTTGATGAAAATCTTATTCAATACAAAATAATTATTAATGACATAAATTATTTCTGAAATATATGTTGAGACTTGAAAAAATTTCAATAGACGTGCAATATCAACTTACTTGGTCGTACGTTCTTAAAAGCCATGTCATCTTTGTATAATAGAAGTTCAGTGTCTAAAGATAAAAGAAATTTTGTTTTTATTAATTATTATTATTATTATTATTAAAATAAGAACTATTGAAGAGAATATTATCTGATTGATTTAGATATGATAGAAAAAAACTTACCAGTTGATGAAAACTTAGATAATGGAAATCTAAACGATCTATGCATCATGGTATCTGATGATGACGAACATAACAAAGTAGTAAAATAAAGTGTCAATTGATCGTTGTTCGTGCTTCCACTCATTTTATACTCAAAGAAGGACAATGAATATTCGTATACTTAAGTAATCCTTTATTTATCGATGTGAATATTGAATTTACGATTAGTAACAATGAACATGGTACCATTGATGAATAGTTAAAGAAATTTGATCTCTGTTCTCGTAATCATTGTCATGATCAATACAAAAAAAAATAATAAGATAAAACGATTTTATGATGATGGTATTTCTCATCATCATGAATTGATTATCTTATCGTAAGTAATTTTTCCTCCCTCTATTAGTACGATAACATGTTTAAGATGAGCAAATGAACGACATGGCACTGTGCAATGTACCATCTATGGTATATGTTGATGTTGAAAGAAAATCTATAGACGACTAATGTCAATAATCTCGAAGAGAGTGAACGTACGTGTCATCATGCCACTAAATTTCTCGAATTCTATTCATTTTCTGATTGCATTCTATGATGTCTATAATTTCATAAAAATAAACTTAGATATATCAACAAATAATCATGTTGTATCCGTTTGTTGATTGATTCAATCAACGAATCAATTTATTAGAAATAAAAAGAAGAAAAATAAAAATCTTTCTAATGATACAACAAAAAAACATGAAGCTATTCTACTTACCATATCGATTTCGAAATGGTCGTGGTTCTTCTAAAATAGAATAACGAATGTATCTATTGTTATTATTATGACTACTGTGCACGCCGGGTTTCTTCGATCTAAGCGTAATCGTTGTCATTTGAAGAATGTATCCAAAAAAAGAAATGATTAAAAATCAACAATAACAACAACAGTATCGTTTTGTCTGTAAGTTGTAAAACCGATATATTTATATATATCGAATACGATGAGTGTGTGTATGCTCGTGTGTGATAAAAGAAGAATGATGATGATGATGGGTGAAAAGAGCAGAAAAAGCAAATGTCTATAGTATACAAAGGTGCACACATTTTGCTACATTCTTTTCTGTTCACTGCTGTTGTATATGCCTGTTTAGCTGATCATCTTGTTTTCTTTCATTGTCTATCAATTGTTACTATATAAATATATGTATATAGTAGTTTAGAACATTGAGAAATGTTTCGATCAAATATGTAGATTAATAGAATATATAGTTTTTGTCGTCTAATTCGTAAAGAAAAAGTAAGTGAAATGATTTTATAAATTATGTATATATATATATTAATAGGATCGATATAACATAATTACTTTCTATTAATGAAGTATATTTAGTTACAAGTTTCTTTTCTATTTATCGTTTAGATAATTGCCATACTACTCACTCGTTTTTTCTTCTTCATTCAACACGCTTGTCAGAAGAACCTAGAGGGAGAAAAATCATTTTCTTGTTTGATAGACTACTGCTGTTCGATAAACATGTTATGTACAATAAGTAGAACGAATGATTGTGTGAGTGTGGCAATCCCCAATTGTGTATAAACAAAAGAATCTCAATATTTCTTCTTCTGCTTTTTCTTCTATTATGTACCATCATCATCCTGCATCGATTAGAAGGATAAATAGGAAGATGCGAAATTAATAGATAACAAAAAAAAATGACCACCTTGACTGAAAACATACGTTATCGTTGTTTCTCTGTCAGTTGTTGTTATTCTTATTATAAGTATCATAGAAATAGACTTACGAGAACGTGCTCGTTCGAAAGAAAATCCACTGGAATCCTTAACAGTTGTATTGTTAATTATAATATCGTCAGTACATTCGTCAATCAATGTACTGTCAGTTACTCGTCTCCACAATTGAATAATGCCTATAAATAGTCAAAATAAATATACTAAAGTTAAGTTTCTACATACGTTCGTAAGCGAAAGCAAATCGTTTAAATAATGGTAAAAGTTGTTCACCAGAAGGAATTTGTTTTTCATGTGATTTAATATGAGAATAAGCAAGTAATATTTGTTTATCAATTGAAACTTTATATTCAAGATTATCCATAACAGCATGAAGTTTTGCACGAGATAAATATGGTTCAACTAAATTTAATACAGATTTATGTTGAATTAAACGATCTTGAATATCATCAAATGAATTTGGTGTATGTGTTGTTGATATAGTTGAATATTTTCTTGTTGTTATTGGTGTTGAATATGTTGATGTTAAAGTTCGAGATGTTATTGATTTTGTTTCAAGATTATGTAATGCTTGTTGACAACAAACAATTGTTGATTCTAATTCTTGACGTATTGTACCTTCAAGATTTTTTTGTATTAATGATGATGTTGATGAAGATTTTTTTAATGAATATATATTTGTTGTATTTGAATAATATTGTTCAAAATAAAGAATACATTCATCAATTGTTTCTTTTTGATGTAAAAGACGTTTAAATAAAATTGGTTGTACATAAGATATAATTCGAAGTATACTAGATAAATTTGTTAATAAACGTTCATCATCCATACCAATATCTTTTGTTTTAGATATTAAAGATATTGCTGATGATGAAGATATTGTTGATATTATTGATTTTTCAATAAATGTTGATGCAAATAAACTAATCATTTTTGAAATAATTTTTTCAGGTTTAAGTATTCGAATAGGAAACATATCTGGATCATAAATGAATATTTTTGAATAAATTACTTCAAAAACTTCAATTGAAAATGGTAGCTGAGCGAGTAATGTATCAATTGATAAATGATTGGATAAAATTTTACGGAATGTATTTGAACTAAGACGATTAATATAAATAGCACAATCATCATAATTATGTGTTCGAAGAAAATGTAAGATACGTGCCGATGCTATATCAACAGGAGCATTACGTATACTACTCATCATTTTTCAAATTTTATGATAAATTTCAATTGTAATAAACATATATTGCTTTTATTGTTATTCCATTGTTGTTGTGATATGTGACAACGCGTTGAGAAGTTAGTTAGATTGATGAGAAAACAACGTTCGTCTCGTTCGCAATTCTCTATTATGTTATGCTTTTGCTATCACCTTCAGATAGCAATGGCTTGTTCTTCTTTTTCTTCTTCTACGTCTTCTCTCCTTTCTTATACGATTGTCGACGTCAATGGTATTGATCTATTATCTATCTATTGCCACATGCATATACAAGAAGATTCCCTTGACGATGAGGATAATGTTTACGAATATATATATATATGGACCATTTTCTTTTCTCTTGTATGGCATTGACTTATCGATGACGACATTAGTCCTTTTCCAAACAGACCTAGATGTACAGTCGCTCTTCTTGTAAACACGACACATGAATCAAATCAGCAATGGTGTTATGCCTCAAGAGAAATGGGAGATAAGAAAAAAATAATTATTTGTGATTAGACAAAAAAGATGTTAGAACATTTTTAAAAAAAAACATACGAGCAGTTAAATGTTTCATTGTATTCTCATTCACCTTTATGATATAATAATCTGATTATAGAGAAATCAATGTCAAAAAGCAATAGGAATTGTTTGATTTGTTCAAAGAATTCGTTTTTATATTTGAAGTTCAAATAAACTTTAGGGCTGGAATTGTTACTTTTGTTTTTCATTTCAGTATTCTATTTGTACCAATATAAAAATATAGCTACAATCTATTACTTTGACATTGATGCTATCAATATCATTAAAAACAACTTCATGGGTAATCTATCAACTTATCTCTATAAACTCAGATAATAGAAGTGTTAACATTTAATTTTGTATCTACAAAAAAAGTCATCAATTCATAAAGAAAGGAATCGATTTTATCATATTATCATTCTCGTGCCTGTAGAAATAATATTTCCTGTTGAAAAACAAGAAAAGACAACAAAAGAGTTATTTATACAACTAAATTTAAAACAACAAGAATTTTAGTTAAAACACATACTATATCAATGAATAACTACTTTGACAATAGGATAGAAGAGATATTAGTAAATAAACTAGGCAAGGATGTATTTAGTATTGTATAAACATATAAACGTCTAGGAAGTTATTTCTGTCATTTGGTAATTCATGTTTTATGTTATAGATAATACTTTAGCTTCAAGAAGAAAAAAAAATTTTTTCCATATGCAAATTACTCAATGATTGATATTCTAGATGATATATAAAATTAACTAAATACTGAATGCTTAATAGTTTTCGTGCAACTGTATCCTTTTCAATTTGGGATTATTGCATAAACATACACAGCATGCAATTCATCATTCTCGAATAGACACAATATCAAAATACATAACTCCGTCTTTCTTAATCAAGATTGAAACTTGTACTAGATTCAAACAAGCATCAAATATCATTAATTATCCATCAATAGACAATATTCAATCAAAATAACGATGCTAATTAACAATCAGATGTAGAATTTATTTAAAAATCTATATAAAATATAAGAATTATAAATTAAAATGATCACATCTATTTCAATATAAACATTGTATAGATATAATTTTATTGTTCGATGAAGCCAATATTATTCATAAAAATATTACGATTGATAAATTTGATTCTATATTAATGATGAACAAATGAATATAATTAACTAAGGTTTCTTATTCATGAATTGAATTTTCTCGAAAATTAATTCATTTTGTGTATTATATTTGAAAAATCAAAGAAAAATAAAAAAAGAAAACATCTTTTTAAATTCTGTTATTTTTATTTAAATTTGTGCGTGCATTTTACATTGATTGAGTTCATTAAAGCGACAGAGAACAAATACACAAAAAAGAAAAAAACAAACGACCAATAACCACAATAACACAATCGCGCACAGATGAGAGATAAATATAGAAATAACAGCATATATATGTTTTATTATTATTATTATGTTTTCTTTTTTTGATCATTTCAGAACAATCGAAAGAAAAAGAGAAAGAGAGCAAAAGAGAGAGAGAGAGAGAGAGAAATAATGACTGAAAAAAACTAATAGAATCCAACATACTTTGGTTTTCTTATAGCTTTTCTCTATTTTCTTGTTTCTTTTTTTATTTTGGAAAGACGAGCAAGATGAAAAAAAAAACAAACAAATAAAGGAGATAAAGTTCACTGGCGTATAGCAGCGAAAATGCACTGAATTTGGAAGGATTATTTGAATGAGGCGACAGCAAAAAAAAATATATATACACATAGCCGCACACAAAAAATCGCACGAATGTGCATCTTAATAGTTGTATATAACTGTAATATGAAATGACTGACGAAGCAAAAAAATGCGCACAAATGTGCAATAAGGTAAAGATGGAGAATGCGTAAAACTCGATATCTCACGCATATTCAAACAAGCACCCAACGCACGAAAAGAAAACGAGACAAACACACACCGGAACAAAGAGAGAGAAAGAGAGAGATAGAGAGAGAAATAAACCAAAACAAAATTCAACAATTTAGCTCTTCATTATAATATTTCGTTTGCTATTTATTTATCGACGTATAATTGATTGATATTTTTATTTTTATTTTTATAATTTATATATGTATATATATATATATATATATATATGTTTATGTCGAAAGAACAAGAAATATCTGAGTTATTGTTTTAGACAGAAAAAAGAAAAGAAAGAAAATGAGCATTCAAAACAAAGAGAGAGAGAGAAAAAGTGTTTGCATTAGTCTTCTTTTGCTTCGTTTCTAACGAGACGAAAGGCTTTCAATGTACTTTTCGCATTTTTTTGGCTTCTAATGGAAAACGACTAAGGGACAAAAAAAAACGTCTATTCACTGTTTTGACTGAAGAAGCTTCAATCCCTGATGATAATTGATGATGGTGTTGATAAAATGGGACAAATAGATAAACGCATGTTACTGGAAGCGAGATAAACAAACACCGGACATGGTCAGCATGGGAAATAAAAGAGAAAAAAAAACACAAGAGGACTAGCACACAACGAAAAGATAGAATACAGTGTGTGTATTTGTTCGCAGCATCACTGTAAACAATATATGTATGTATGTATATATATATATATATAAGTTTTTTTTTATCGTAAGACGCACACACGCACAATTATTTGTTTTTTCGTCGTCATTATTTTTGTCATGAGATCCATTGATCTAGTCGTTGTATTTCACTGTTGTGAAAAAAGTAGAAGAAGAAGAAGAGAAAACGAACATTTTTTTTTTTTTGTGCATTCAATAAAAGCCAAAGAAGAAAAGTATTGCGCAATGAACAAAATGAAAAATCAAGAACCGACATCAGACATTTGTGCAGAAGAAAACTAGTAAAGAGGGTTTACATGTATATCTAAAGTCAACATTATCATTTCGATAGACAATGGAAGGAACTCGAGAGACCCAACGCGTCATTCGAAGGACGGACAACACATCCTATCATCATGAATATGGATAATAATAATAATACAGTAGTAGCAGCACATGAAATAAGAAAGAAAAGAAAGAAAGAAAATGTTTGCTGTTCAATTTAGAAAAAAAAAAAAACGAGAATTGATTTTTTTTTTTTTGTGTTTTTGGCATGGAAGAAGATTTCTCACACACTCTATTATTGCAAAGACACACGCACACACACGGCTAACTACTATTAGAAAGAAGAGTTGTAGTAGAATAAATCACAGGAAACAAAAGAGATAAAGAAAACAAAAAGTGCGCATATTTTTTTTTGTCGAAATCGAACAAAAATGAAATAAAGAAAGAACCGATTGAGAAAAACAAAATGAACAAAAAGGAAGATGGTGAAGGCAGGAAAAGTATGAGATACGTTTGACTGACTTTGTATTTATTTTTTGTTTGTCTATATAATTTTTCTTTTTTTTTTTTATTGCCACGGGATTGGTTGTTGGGAATTATTTCCCCACATATTATTATCAAAAGATATTTTTGATTGAAATGGATTATATTCCATATCTTGATCATGATTACCACCAGCAATTGACATTGATGAAAAAGCTTGAAAAAAATTTGATTTATCTGGAATGTTAATATTCGAATTCATAAAATTATTATTATTATTATTATTATGTATTGGTCGAACAATAGTTGAACCTGATGAGGATGATGATGAGGATGATGATGGTGGTGGTGATGTAAAACCATTATTAAACATTGAATTATTTCTATAAGCATTATTTGTTGATAGTTGTTGTTGTTGTGTACGTTGACCAACTATTTTACGTGGTGGTACACCAGTAAATTGCATTGGTGGAGGTACTTGTTGCTGTTGTGAATAAATTTTTGTTGGTACAGCTGATTGCATAAATTGTTGTTGTTGTTGTTGTTGTTGTTGTTGAAATTTTTGTGTAGGTAAGGATGGCCGATTAAATGTACCATTATTATTTATTTGTTGAACAGGTGTATAGTCTGATGTTATCATTTCAGATATACGTTCGAGATTCCACCAAAAATCTTTACTCAAACGTGTTATCCATGCACTATCATCACGTAATAAATATCGTTCTAGAAGATTCAAAAAAAATTATTTTAAATAGAGAATATTAATTTTCTTGTAAATACCAGCATTCTCGAATACACTCCAATCAACATCTGGATCACTATTAATAGGTGATGACGTCGATTGATTCGATGTAAATGGATCAGATGAAGAATAAGCGCCAAAATCACCGAAACCTTGAAATAAAAAAAGAAAAATTTTAATAATTCTTTTTTTTTTTTTTGTCTTTCCCTACCAGAACAAGGTTGATCCATGGTCATCATCATATTTTTGTGTATGTGTGCTTTTGATTTCGTTTAGAAGAAAAAATAAACAAAACGGATACTCGTTTATCACACGAGTAAAGTCGTTGATCACAGAGTAAAGACCACTGTTTGTGTTAAAGATTTTTGTTTTGTTTTGAACAAATGCCAATGACAGATGTGAAAGACAAAAGGTGTATGTGTATGTATGATCTCTCTCGAATTTTTTTTTCTTTTTTTTATTTCTTCTTCTCTTATTTGTGTATTGTCAAATGTCGAAATGAAAAAAAAAGAGAGAGAGAGAGAGAGAGACAATAAGAGAGATCAATCGACAAGCATGGACAAAAAATAACGAAATGTTAAGCAAATATAAATAGAGATGATGATCTAGAAGAGAATAATAACAAGTTATACGGATGATGGCATCGCCCTTTACATGAACTATGTATGTCAGAATTGTCAAAAATCGACGACTCAGTTTCTTTTTCTTTCTTTCTTCCTCTTTTAGTTGTTGAACGTTGGCCCGAACACATGTATCGTCCGTTTTGCGCCCTTCTATAATATGACTACTGTGCTCGTTCGCATCAAGTAAAAGACAGTGCGAATTGACATAGGAAGGAAAGGAAAGGAGAAGGAAAAAAAAAATGAAGAAAGCCAACAACAGAATAGGGTTCAACTTACCGGACAGATACTTGAACTGATGAAACAAGTGTGCGTGCGTGTATGTTATGCATTCTTTTGCACACAGACACTCTTTCTATTTCATACAAACGCACGAACGATGTTTGTCTTTTTTCTTCTATTCGACGCCAAGAGAACAATGGGTGTAAACATGCACGTACATCAGACGAGTGAAAAAAAAAACGGAATTCGTCGTACGAGTGTTAACATAACAAAAGACAAAAAGACAGAAAATTTAATAAGTAAAGTAACAGCAACCGACCATCTGACGATGTGGCTGTTATATGCTAAGACGAACAAATAAGGATAAAAAAAGAAAATGTGCGTTGTCGCTGTTTCTTTCTTGTAGATTGAATAAAGAGAAGAAAAAAAAGGGGCATGAGAAAGGGATGCACATATACACAACATTCCCGCCTGGCTTGTCTAATCGCAAGCAAGTAAAAGAACGTTAGTAAGAAAGAAGAGAGAGAGAGAGAAAGAAATAAATACCCATCCACAATCGAGTCGACGATGAGGCTGCTCCATTACTCTATTTGTTTATTGTCTCATATTATCGAATATAAGAGAGAGAGAAGAAGGTATTTTTTTTTTGTTACTCGTATCTATTTATAGAGGAAACTGCTTCGTTTTTTTTTATCTTCTACTTTCTCATAATCAAACGAAACACAAAATGAGACCCATATCAAGTCTTAAGCATATGAGAAATTTTGTTTTGCTTTTTTTTGTTTCATTAAATAAAACTCGAGACTAAACAGCAGTTTTTATAAACTGAGTCATTGTATGATTGCTTAAAAATAGAATGTTACATGAAAAAATACTAGGCTGATATACATATATATTGTGTTAGACAGTCAAAACAAGGCAAAGAAAACGATAATGATAAGAAGAAAACTGAGAGCCAGTTGGAAGAAAAGAAAGAAAAAAAGAAAGGAAGAAATCAACCTAAACAGAGGAAGAAGGGTATGTATGCAAGACAGAAGAAGATGGACGTGTTTAATGAAGAAAAAAAAAATGACTACCATATATCAAGATTAATTGCCTCTTCAAAAATTAATTAATAATATCATGCACAAATTTTCCAACATATTTCATTGATATAGTATATAATATTCATACGCAATTGAAAATAATTATACTTGACCTTTTTTTCTTAATAGAGGGCGCTCTAAAACAGAAAATAGAGGTCATAAAATAGATTTCTATCTTTAAACTGATGAAAAATAACGATTTGAAAATTTATTAAAAAAGTTTTTTTTTTTCGAACGAATAAAACATAATATATAGATTATTTTAATCAACAATGGAAGACTTCAATTGCTAAAAAGGATAGATATAAATGTTCATAACTTTTATTATAGAAAATTGAATTATTACGATAAAAAAGATTGTTTGAAAGTTGTAATCAAAAATGTTAAATAGATTCTATATGTTTATAATCGTATTTATGATAACAGACATAAGTTATTCTTGTCCTAAATCTAAAACAATCGATAATCAAGAAACTTTGCTGAAGTTGATTTAATAGTGATATATCTTTTGAATTGTTATTCTTGTTTAGCATATAATAAAACTAATCATCTTCAATTGTTCTTGACAGGCACAGAAAATCATATGTATTCATTTAAAACGTCTCATCATAATAATCTTTTTTATTTTGTCAAATCGAAGAAAAAAAAAACAGTGTAACAATATGATAATGAAAATATTTTTGCTATTAAAGCAAAAAAAAGAAAACTCTGGTTTTCATTATATCATTTAATAGGTACATTAACGAGAGTTTTTGATTTAATAACACCATTACCTACTTTCCATAAAACTCCTTTAAATGTTGCTTCACCTTTATCATTTGTAGTCATATCCGGTAAAATTTGGTCCGATAATTCTTTTTTAATTTGAGCATCCGGTGATGAACAATCATAACCTTCACATTCAATTCGATCACCTAGTTTAGAATTACTTGGTGGTTCAAGTATTTCAACTTTATCTGGTGTTGATGCACACATAACCACTACAGAAAAAAAGAATATATATATATATATCAATTTATAGAATCATTTGAATTCTTCAAACTTACTTGCTTCAGATGTAATACCACGCATTTTTGCTGGTTTTAAATTACATAAAACAACAACAAGTTTTTGATCAAGCTAAAATAATTTTTATTCATAGAAAAGAAAATAATTTTATAAAAACTTACATCACCGATTTGTAAATGTTTAACAAGACCACTACATACCTAAATAAGAAAAATGATTTTTTTTTTTGAATAAGTTATATAAATTATATTTTTGTTTTAAATACCGTTCGGGGTTTTTCTTCACCAACATCAATTTTTTCAACGTATAAAGAATCTGCATCAGGATGTTTTTCAACTGATACAATTTTTCCAATACGTAAATCAAATCGTGTTATATCAATTGCAGTATTAGCAGCTGCTTTGGCTGGTTTTTCTATTGATATTAAAAAAATTCTATTTAATTTAATTTTTTTTGTTTATGTTTTATACAACCTTCTTTAGTAGCTTTCTTTTTCTTTTCTTTTTTATCTTTAGCATCTTGTTGATCATTACTAGCAGCAGCAGCAGCAGCGGCGACAGGAGCAGCTTTAGCCACTGGTTGTTGAACTTCAACTGGTTTTTCTGGTTGAGTAACCGATTGAGTTGGAGCCTTGGGAACCTTATTGACAAAATCATATTGTTGTGTTACTAAGAAAAGAAAAGCAAAAATTAATGTTTTTATTAGCGTAACTATAATTTACCTCCTCGTTGATTTTCTAATGTCACTAATTCGTCAACAAGATTTTGTACACGTTCTTTTAATTGTGTATTTTCTTCTTGAAGTACATTAATATATACTTCAGGATCAAGTTGTCCTTTAGGATAAAACAAAAAAATATTATACAATAAAATGTAATAAAATAAAATTTACTTACGTGTACCAATAGTTGCAATAAGTGATTTTAATTGTTGAATACGTTCATCAGCTAATTTAGCTTTTTCTTGTATAGTTTCCATGTTGAAAAAAGAATAAATTGTACTAGTATGATGAGAACGTTGAAGAAAATGACGAATATTTACTGATCTAAAGCAGGACATATTATTATATCTTAAAAAAAATAGATCACGAAATACAATTACAAAAAAATGATGTAATAGTATTGCAATGGCTTTTAATGGGAAGAAGTAGGCAACCAAAGTTATTTTCCATATGGTAAAGTATGGACGCGAAATTGGATCCAACCAAATGTTCGACTGTGGTCGAAAGTCTCAGTGATACTCAAAGATGTATGATGCTTTAGAGAAAAAAAAGGAAAATTATTTAGTTTCATTCTTTAGACTGAATATAGACTTGTAATGACAATAGATATTAGCGCCTTAACTCATTTCAAATTGAGATTATCCTAGTAGAACAGTTATTCATTGTTTTTTTTGCTTCAATAACGTGCATGAGATAATATTCAGTGTTACACCGAAATATTTTTTAAAGCTGAATTTTTGTTGTGTAAAATTTATCAATAAAAAGTTTCGTTAAATCGTTATTTCAAAGATAGATTTTAAGAGCCACAAGAAATTTTATGCATAATGAAGATTGATAAGATAACCATCCAGTCGATATGTCATATCTTTTAAATGTTTGAGACCTACAGTTTGATATTATTTGGTCGCATGGGATCTTGGGTACCCACTAGAGACCTGCGGAGGACTCCGAAACCCGATTCCGACTCCGACTCCGTCGGAGTCGGAGTCGAAAAAACAAAAATTTTCGGAGTCGGAGTCGGAGTCGGGTTTGCTGAAAAAAAAATTTCGGGTTCGGAGTCGGAATCAGTTACAAGTTCGACTCCGATATTTTTTTTTCGATTTACCAAAACTTAATTTTTAACATTAGTAAATAGAAAAATAAAGC